AAAACCAAAAATATAAAACATAAATCAAAATCCCTGCACTTTACTCATTTCTTCATTTAAAGTTATCTACTCACGGACTAAGTTAAACAACGTTTCCTTGTGGATTCGACCCGGTATTTTACCGGAATTTATTACTATATCGGCACTTGTACACTTGCAAGTTTAGCCCGGTTAGCAGTATTGGCAGCATAAGAAACAAGATGGTTTTCTCCCTCAGCTTTGTCAAGCCTCATCCCGGCGGATTCAGCCACTTTCATCTTTGCCCTGAGGTCCTTGATCTCCCGATCACGACGGCGGATCCTCTCCTCCATCTCGGCCTGTTCGGCCATTGCTCTCTCACCTTTGGTGGCACGGTCCTGCAAGTTCGTGATCAGCTTGCGAGCAGCAGATAGAAGGATCTGACTATCTTCCCGATCGCTTGCCAGGAGCTTCATCTCCTATTCGGCCGCCAGGAAGGCCCGTTGATAATATACCCCGGCCTACAAGCAGTGGCAAACATGATCAAATGAGATCTAAAAAATTCAAAAAATGTCTAAATAAAAAATTAAAAGGATCTATACCTTGAGAGTCTCTTGATGACCTGCCTCGACCAGATCAGACCAATGGGTGAGGTTGGAAAAACTGGGAGGAACCTTCAAAGAGGTGCTGCACCACATGGAAGATGGCATTTGCATGAACAAATATCTCCCCTCAGCACGAGGCCCCATGTTAGAAAATTCTATGAACATCCGATCGTCGACCGGTATGTCGGTAAGGATTGAACCCCCTGACTTGGCAGTGGGGATGATAGGCCTCTTGGGCTCAGTCACTGGACCGGTTAAATCAACTATATGGTCAATCGGTGTAAGCTGGGTGCCATCATTACCCTGACGCCTCTTTCGGGCTTGTTCGGCATCATTCTGATTTTCAGCAACCAACTTCTCCTTACCTTTCTTGGTGGACGCCGTCGAGGTAGAGACATGTGGGGTGTCGAAAGGTAGCAGGGGGAATCACACCTACAAAGAGAGAAAAACAAATCTAAGAGACAGAACTAAACGAAGATCGATTGGGCTAAAATAAGCGAGTTTACCAATTCCAGCAACCAACATCTTGGAATGAGTGATGAAAGATCGAAGATTCCGAGAACCTCCTAGACGCAGAGATTCAGATTGGGAAAGAAGAACGACATTCAGCCTAGGTTAAGAATCCCGAACTAGGTAAGCGTTTCATCGGTCGGGATATGGAAGTGACTCGTCCACGTGGACGAAAAGAAATTGTTCCTCCCAGTTAGCTGGCGCAGTAGGGTTCTCCGTGAACAACTGACGATCAGCCCGAGCCACCAACTTCAAATACCAGGTGGTCCAGTAAGGCTGATAACAGTAATGGTACAGGAAGAGATCAACATTAGGAGCAATTCCCAGTTCATGGCACCGAATGATGAAACCGTTCAGAAGGCGATAGGTGTTGGGCACAAACTGAGCCGTCGCAAAAAATCTATGACAAACGGGTGCAGGGGAAATGAAGCCCAGCAGCCAAACCTCCGAGGGTTGTTTTTCGAAAGTTGCAGGGAAAGGGAAAGGTGGGAGCGGGAGATTTGGAAAAGTTGGAGGTGAGTGGGAAAGGTGAGGGACGAACGTGAGGGAGGTTGGGGGTAAATTATTTGGAGGGCTTTTATATGGGGTAGGAATTGGGGTAAGTTTGGAGTCCTATAGCAAAATTGTTTGTGTTTAGGATAGAAACTACTTTTGGATTCAATTAAGTAGCGTACTTTTGTTTACTTTATATGTACGTAGTCATAAATAGTGTTATCTACTCAACGAGTACACGCCGCTTGGGGGTTGGCATTTTGACTCAGCCCGTTCTACTCACCGAGTGAGTTTCTCAACTTGTTAAAAAATTGGGAGAAATAATTAAAATACTCCAAACTTTGAAGCTGTGTGAGGTAAGCACTCCCAAACTTACATATGTAATTTAAATACCTCAAACTTTATATAAAAGTTATTTTAACACCATTTTCTTGTATTATTTTTTTCAAAAATGTTAATAATTGGTGTTAGTTTCATAATTTAAAACATTTTAACATTCATGAAGGTACAATTAGCATTCTAAACTTTCAATATAAAATAAATAGTATCCCCCCACCCTCCAAACTCTATAAAATTGCAATGTTTTCAATTTGCTCTTTTAATTTATGCAATTAACATCATACATTTTTAAAATAATACATGATCATGGTGTTACAATAACTTTTTATTGAAAATTTGAGGTGTTTATTTCACACACTTTCAAAGTTCAGGGTATTTTAATTATTTTTCCAAAAATTTGGCTGTGTGAGTTACATTTGATATTTTGCCTGTTCTACCACTAAGGTTTTTTTTTGGATGAAATCTGAAAAGTTTACACTAAAGTAAGATGCTATGGAACTTATAAATAGTATTACATATTACAAAGTTAATTTTATAAAGTATTTTGCATATTTGCTCATACAAGTTAGATGATTTATACTCTTGGAAACTTATATAGATTACGATCTTTGTTACTTCATCATTCGAATTTAGGATTATTATCATTTATTCATGTCTAAGAATTATTAGATTAATATATTATCGGATTTTTAGTATCTATATTTTTAAAATTAATTTATACAAGGTTGAATAATCTCGGCTCTTGAGTTCTTTGTGTCCATTCTTGCTATTCAGCCCTTGACCAAGTTGCTACCAAGTAGCAACTTTGCTATTTACATGACGTCTTAAAAATTTCCTTTCGACTTGCATTTTCGGTATAGCAATTTTTAATCATGAAGAAATATTATTTCTTGAAGAGTTAAATATCGGTTGAAGAGTACTTAGTTTTCTGCATTTTAATTGCAAGAAAATTTGTATAGATAATATTATTTTTCAAACTATTATGTTACATCAAAACTTACACTAGAATAACTCTTTATGTTCACCTAATTTTTCAGTTAATTTTAGTTCATTTTGAGAATGTCCATATCAAAAGTCATTTGAATATCAATAAAATTCATTGCTGAAGTTTTTTTAATTGAAGTGTTAAACTCATGGGGAAAATCTTCCGTGAGCATTACAACGCTATGAAATATACAATTATGCGTAGAAATATGAAGTATTTTAGATAGTAATTCTAAGAACTCTAGGACTCGCTTTTAAGAATGATTTTATACATATGATTTTCATATTCTCATAATTAATCACATTATATAGAAACATTATATATGTGAATTGCATTTCCCATAGATTAAATTATCATGTGGGTTGTTGAGAAAAGTATCACATTTATACATATAACCATGCACATGTGAAATAGTACATTTGGCACAGTTGTATGGATTATTTAAAAAACGGAATTATTCTATCCTATATTGGAACAAAGCTCCATTTGGAGACTTGAATATCCCATGTTATATCTAATTCCAAATAGCAGTATATAAGGAGTGATTAATAACAATGTTTTTTGGTGCCAAATCATTGAGTGATCAGTTCATAGTCGATTTCTCCTTATGACCCTACCCGAATTATTCTCAAACAAAGATCACATGAATGGTATAATATTGAATTTAATATTATATCCACTCCATGTATTGGAAAAAGAGTCAAATAAACTCTTCTGCTATTTCAAATCCGTCACTTAAGCTTGTGTATTAAAAAAAAATCATATAAGTACGTCTACTTTTAAATTACAATCAATGAAGTCATTTGACTTGCTATAGCAGGTTATTTTTAAAAGAAAATTAAATTAGGAATATTAATAAATTTTTACAAAAATTCATATAAATTTGAATTAATAATCTAATAATAATATAAAAATAGTATTAATGTAAAAAAGATAAAATTTTAAAAACGTTAAAATAAAAAAATAAAAAGTCATAGAACTCGAAAAAAAAATAAAAACCTTTTAAATAGATGTAGAATATACTAATGTTTTTAACAATTTTAAAAAATTGACCTTGATATTCTGAAAATTTTCACAATTTTCGTATATATTTCTTCAAATTTTAACAATTTTTCATAGTTTTTAAATATTATAAACCTGCTATTGAAGGTTAAAAACTGATTAAATGGTCAAATTGATCAATTTTGTAAAGTTGGCGTACTTATATGATAGTTTTTTTAGTACAGGGGCTTGAGTGGTGGATTGGAAATAGTAGACGGGCTTATTTGACCTTTTTCTCCCATGTATTTATTAATTTGTTGTTGTGAACTATATTACACGTTAACACGGTTAGGCATATACAAGAAAGACGTGTAATATATGAATGCAATCACTCCATGCTTATAATAATGATTAGTTACTATGCAATGATAATTAATAAAAAGTTGATGACAATTGTTGGAAAAGGTTGTCATCTTCCTTCACCACTGCGTTGTTACGTACCCAATTTCAATCTGGTTTGAAGTTTGTGATATCTGACGAAGAAGGACGAGCAAACAAGTTTACTTTGAATATTAAATACAAAGAAGTTTATAACAATTTATAGTTTTTCCTTGAGAGCTGTGGGCATACATAATGAATATTTCATCATATAATGTTCTATATTTATTTTCTATTATTATCTCCTAGTTTGCTATTACTAACATCCTATTTTATTTAATATTTTTAATTAATTGATTTACTATCAAGTTTCTATACTTTTTATCATTACATATAAACTATTGTGTGATTAAATTACTCCCGTGTAACGCACGAGTGTAGTAACTAGTGGTCTTAAGTTCAAATCAAATCTAAATTGAAATGAACATTATGGTTGAATACACTCCGTATATATTACGTTGTAATATATTAACGAGTATTATTGTTATCATATATGCAGTATTTATTATTATTATTATTATCATCAGTATACTAATAATAATAATAATAATAATAATAATAATAATAATAATAATAATAATTATTATTATTATTATTATTATTATTGTTGTTATTATTATTAGAATGGATATCCATGAATCATGAAAGCCATTTTTTGCTGCTAAATACGAAAGCTTACAGTAAAACCCAGAACCCCGCGAACCACAGTTGCAACCGCTTGTCTCTGCTTTTAAACCCTAAAAATCTAATTCGAAATTCTTAAACAACAATGGCAGCAACCGCACGATGCAAGCTCCGATCCGTTGTATTCAATCATCCTCTTCATACCCGCCATTTCGCAACCTCGATCTTGAACCCTGATTCCAAAACCGCGCTCTCCAGCAAAGAGAAATCTCGTACAGCTCTCTCTCTGCTCCGAACCGAGACCAACCCGGAACGCATCCTCGACATATGCCGAGCCGCCGCGCTAACTCCTGAGTCTCACCTCGACCGACTCGCCTACTCCAAGGCCATCTTAAAGCTCCGCAACTCCAATTACTTTGGGGGAATTCGTGAGCTCCTTGAAGAATATAAGTCCCGACCCGATTTCAGATCCGAAAGGTGCATTTCCCACTTTGTCGTTCTCTATGGGCAAGCCGGCATGCTCGATGACGCCATGAAGACCTTTGAGAAAATGGAGGACATGGGGATCGAACGATCGGTGAAATCACTCAACTCTCTCCTGTTTTCTTGCCTTTTAGCTAAAAATTTCGGAGAAATGAAGAGGGTTTTTGTTGAATTTCCTAAAAAATACACGATTGCCCCCGACCTAGATACCTATAATACAATGATTAAGGGGTTTAGCGAGTCGGGTTCTACCAGCTCTGCCTATTCCATATTGGATGAGATGATTAGAAATAAAGTCAGGCCAAATGCCACAACTTTTGGAAACTGTCTTGCAGGTTTTTACACGGAGGAGAAGTTTGAGGATGTCGGGAAGGTTTTGGATATGATGAGTCAACACGGTGTTTCACCAGGCATTGCTATTTATAACATAAGGATTGAAAATTTATGTAAGCTCAAGAGGTCAAAGGAGGCAAAGGCATTGCTTGATGGAATTTTGTCCAGGGGGTTTAAGCCGAATTCTTTCACTTATGCCCATTTGATCCACGGGTTTTGTAAGGAAGGCGATTTGGAAGAGGCAAAGAGTATGTTTAAAAAGATGGCTAACAGTGGATGCCAACCGGATAGCGAGTCATACTTTAGGCTGGTTTACTTCTTATGCAAAGGTAAAGATTTTGAGGATGCAATGAAATTTGCAAAGGAATGTATGGAAAAGGGCTGGGTTCCTAATTTCTCGACTATGAAGATGCTCGTGGATGGGCTTGCAAGTATTTCAAAGGTTGAGGAAGCTAAGGAAATCATTTCACAGTTGAAGGAGAAGTTTTCTAGAAATGCTGACAAGTGGACTGAGATTGAAGAAGGGCTACCCAAGTAGGAGGGAAATGTATCATGGTAAACTCTTATCTTGGTTTTGAATAATGATTTGGTGTCATGATTAGCTTCTAAAATAGTTAAAGTCGATGCCCTTGTTGGATTAATTCTCTTCTACAGTGGTCTTTTTCTCAGTTACATTTTCTCCATTATTACTTGGACTTGATTTTGAAGCAACTTTCCTCTTGTTCCCATTCTAAGCTATTTGAGTTTTGAACATGAGGAAGCTATATCACCTCCCAATCTCACAGCACATAAATGTGATATTCATTTCTTCCCAAAATGCGCTGTATGTAATATAAAAAGTTAATAGGTTTTTTGTGTAATCCCATGAGTAATGAGTGGCATCACTATGTTTTTACAAATACTACGTGTGTATTTTTTTCTTGAATGGTTTGTAGTTCCATGCTATATTTTCTTTTACCCATCTGCAGCTTTATAATTTCCGTAAAAGATTAGAAAACATATGTTGATTTGCAAGGAAAAAGAAAACTAGAAGTCATATGTTGTACTGAGCATGTGTTTGATTGTCCAATAATTGAACGGCAAAATTAAGGGGCTGATTGCACTATATGCCAACTTGCCAGCAACTAAGCAACGATAAATGTGGTTTAAGTAAACATTATGGAGAATATTAGGCATGACAGAACATGTGACATATAAAAAATGCATATTTGTGAAATTGTTAGAGGAATGATAACAATATTGTGTGACTAGTGCAATGAATTGGATAAGAAAGGTTTTTACAAGTGTACATGAAACTCTTCATTTACGATCATAACACATGAGAATGGAGAAGTCGCTTTGGATTATCTCTTCTTTCCTAATGAAACTCTTCACCTGCAGTCCTTCACTCACCATGTGGTATCTTGTAATTCTCTCATCTAACAAGAAAGTTCTTATTCCTCTTTCAAGGACACTCACTCTTCACTACTCAAGAAGCCTTCTTCAGAGTGCTTCAGAATCAGAAGTCTCACCACTATTTATATTGGTCCACAAAGCTATAGACTTGCTTACTCATGAACTTTCTATGCTTCTCTTCACTCTCTGGCTCTATAATCTCATGCAGGAATTTACAAGACTCCATATTTCTAGAAAAATGTTCCAGGAATGTCCAGTTTCTCCTACACAGTACTAGACTACTAGATTATTGATTCCATACACCAGAAGACTCGGTAATATTTTAGATTGAAAAATGACTTAGTTGAAAAAGCCGACCACAACATGCTAAAGTTGATTAAAATTGAAGCAGACCTACTGAAGTCATTGGGGAACATTTTAAAAAGGTTGAGGGTTCATTTAAAAGCTGAAAAAGAAGTGAGGAAGGAGATATGAGCCTCTAGCCTCCGTAAATTTTTAGCACCAACCGGTCAGGGTGTGGAACCAACCCGAACTAAAATATTATTTTGTCTAGGTCTATCTACTACTAGGTCACATGTAAGCATGATCATATTTTGTCAAATATTATTTTATAAGTTATCATTATATATATAATCAATTCATTTTTCATGAGAAGGAAGAATGTCTAAAATTAAAATTAGGGATGTTAAATCAGTTTTTATCTACAATAAATTTTGAGAATGGTGAAGTTGGGAACCAAAATATACTTTAATTTCGGTTGGTTTGTTTTAATGTTGGTCAATTTTAACATATTTTGGCTGGCTATTTTCAATTTACTTATTTTTCAAATTTAAAGGCATAATTCCAACAATTTAGAGTGAGACAAATTTTGATCATTTTTGTTTTACTAGATTCGTTTTACAGTGGAAAAGTCTTTAATATTGACGAATTTATTAATTATTCAATCAGATCTGTTATTGAATGACACTACAACATTAAAAACGGAAATAATCAAAAGTTACAGAACTATATCTATAATTTTCTCTAACCATAAATTAAAAATTACTTAAGCATCATTAAAGGGTAGAGAGGGGGTAAGAATATATTTTTGATAGTGATAATATATCCCTACGTATAAAACAAATAGTATTCGTTCCGTCTCTTGTAACTTTGCCAATTTTCCTTTTTTGGATGTCTCACTAGCTTTGACACTTTCCCTTTTAAGTAAATAATTTGTGATTCCAGTTCATTCTCTCTTCTCTGCACAAATCTTAACCGCACAATTTTTACTTTATTATTCTCCGTGTCAGTCAATCTTGACAAAGTTATTAGTAGGGGTGGACATTTCGGTTTTCGTTTCGGTTTTCTTCGGTTTCGGTTTTCTTCGGTTTCGGTTTAATCGGTTTGATAGAAAATGTACCAAATACAAACCGATTAAGTTTCGGTTTGGTTTCGGTTTGGTATGGTTCGGTTCAGTTTGGAGTTCGGTTTACCAAAGTATTAAGGTTTGGATTGAAAAAAAAATTAACTCAAAATAATGAACCAAGAAGCGATACTAATGAATCAAATGTAATGTTAGATATAAATTTGCAAACAATAACAAAACATATATGAACAAAAAATATATAAGCATGACACATTTGTAAGCAACAACAACAACGGGTATGAATCAAATTATATATAAAGCCGAAACAAAAACAAAACGTGTGCTTGTAATAAGTAATTAACCAAATATATAGTAGTAGTAGATAACAAATTATAGTTAAATACTATCTACTTAAACCACTATAATTGTTATAGTTGTGAATGTAACTCTTGTAGTAAACTCTAGTCTTCGACATTAAAATTAAAGAATTAAAGTTTCAAAAAGATTGACATCAATCAAATTAATGAGAGAAATCTTATATTTTGGTTTGCTTTAGTTTGGTGTAAGTTGGTTTTGATTTGTTATTTTAAAAAAATATGAAATTATTTCATTTTTAGATTAGTTCGGTTTTATTCGGTTTTATTCGGTTTTATGATTTCGCTTCGGTTTCGTTCGGTTTAATACGGGTTGGGAGGAATACTACCAAACTCAAACCAAATTTCAAATGATTCGGTTTCGGTTCGGTTTAATTCGGTTTGGTACGGTTCGGTTCGGCCAAACCGAACCGTTATGCCCATCCCTAGTTATTAGGGAATGAATTCATTTTTGAAACAACAATGGCAGCAATCGCACGATGCAAGCTCTGATCTGTTATATTCAATCATCATCTTCATATCCCCCATTTCGCAACCTCGACTATTTCCAAACCGGCGCTCCGAGACTAACCCGGAACGCATCCTCAACGTATGGCAAGCCGCCGCGCTAGCTCCTGGGTCTAAAATGGACCGACTTGCCTACTCCGCGGCCATCGCAAACCTCCGCCACTCCAATCACTTTGGGGCAATCCGTGAGCTCCTTGAAGAATATAAGTCCCGACCCGATTTGAGATCCGAAAAGTACATTTCCCACTTTATCCTTCTCTATGGGCAGGGCGGACCCAGGAAAGTATCTTGGGTAAAATATTTTTTGGGGTTCAAAATATTTTTTGGGAGGGAGAAAATTATTTTTCATATATATACACTAAAAAAAATTCTTGTTAATGGGCGAGCCGGCATGCTCGATGACGCCATGAAGACCTTTGAGAAAATGGAGGACATGGGGATCAAACGATCTGCGAAATCACTCAACTCTCTCCTGTTTGCATGCCTTCAAACTAGGAATTTCGAAGAAATGAAGAGAGTTTTTGTTGAATTCCCTAAAAAATACAGGATTGCCCCCAACCTAGATACTTATGATACAATGATAAAGGTGTTTAGCGAGTCGGGTTGTACCAGACTACCAGCTCCGTTTATCCAATATTGAATGAGATGATTGAGAATAAAGTCTGGCCAAAAGACACAACTTTTCGACACTGTCTTGTAGGTTTTCTCAAGGAGGAGAAGGTTGAAGATATTGGGAAAGTTTTGGATATGATGAGATGACGTTCTGCTTCACCGGGCATTGTTGGTTTAAATAGCTCAATGTTTGAATTTTTTTGTAAGCTCAAGATGTCAAAGGAGGCAATGGCATTGCTTGATAAGATTTTGTCCACGGATTTGAAGCCGAATGCTTATGCCCATTTGATCCATCCATGTGTTATGTAAGGAAGGTGATATGGAAGGGGCGAAGAGTGTTTGAAAAGATAATTAACAGTTATATCAATTCAAAGAATTGGCTCCTTTTCTTTATATCCGATGGTGGAGAGATGAGAAGTGCACAGCTAAAATTACTAATGAGTGTATGGAAAAGGTCTGGGTTCCTAATTTCTTGACTATGAAAATGCTCGTGGATGGGCTTGCAAGTATTTCAAAGGTTAGGGAGGAACAATGAAGAAGAGGTTTCCTAGAAATGCCTACAAGTGGACTGAGATTGGAGGACTACCTAAGAAGGACTATGATGAGATTTTGCCATGGGAATTGAAGCCGAATTCTTTTTCTTATGCGGATGTATTTGCGGCATTGAGGTAACGACGATGCTGATGCTGATTTAATCCATCGGTTTTGTAAGGAACATGATATGGAAGAGGCGAAGAGTATGTTTGAAAAGATGTTTAACAGTTATAACAAGGAAACCATTTCATAGTTGAAGCAGTAGTTTCCTAGAAATGCTGACAAGTGGACTGAGATAGAACGGGTTGTAAACGAATCAAATAATTCGAAAAATTCAAATACAAATACAAATAAGAATACTAAATTTGATTCGAATTGTTATATAATACAAATAAGAATATCAGTGTATTCGATTCGAAAGTTAATCAAATATATTCGATAAATAATAGTGATAATATTAATATTAATAATAATAATAATAATATTGATAATAATAATAATAGAAATTGCTCTAAATAGGAGCAAAAACGTTTTGAAATTCCAAAATAGGAGTATCATGTTTTTTATTCCCTGAATAAGAGTACGTAATCTGCCAAGATTGGAAAAAAATGTCATGTTTTAAAGCCTAGTAAAGTCAAACTTGGCAGAAATTTACTCCTATTCAAGGAATAAAAAATATGATACTCCTATTTTGGAATTTCAAAACTTTTTTACTCTTATTTAGGGAATTCTCTCTAATAATAATAATAGTGATAACATTATAATAATGATTAAAAGATAGCTATATAAACCCGCAAAGTGTATCCCATATATACATTTACGTATACAAATTCCAAGTCTGTTTGTAATAAATCAGAAGTATCATACATATTAAGGATTGTAAATGAAGCAAATAATTTTAATTCGATTCTTGATCTGGATTCAAAAATTATGAATTAAATTTGAAAATTTATAATATAAGTACAAATGCAAATCAACTTTTCAATTCAAATATCTTTCAAATACGAATACAAATAATTATGTATTCAATTCAAAGAATAATCAAATATATTCGTTGATACATATACAAAATCAACTACTGCAAGTGTATATGTGCATCAACTATCCGATCTATATGTGTGTGTATAGTTTAAATTATACTCTGTATATCTGATCAGTTTTTTTTAGCAACAATGCTAAATATCTAACATAAAATTAGAGTTGTTTGACTTTGGTATATACAATTATCAACTTATTTCACACATTATAAGTATAATTTCTAATGTGTGTATTTGAGTATAATTTCTATTATAACCACAAAATTGATTCACTTTATTATATCGTACACAGTCTAAAAATGCATTGATCCATTAATTTTTATGAAAATGTAATGTTACAAATCAAATTCTAAAAGCACATATTAAGTCATAGCATACATTTATAACATAAAAATATATGAAAAGTTATTTTAAAATGATATTTGACTAATATTTAACTTATACTCAAATCGATTCGATATTCGTATATGATTTGTTAACTATTCGTATTGTTAAACAAATACAAATCGAAATTAATATTCGTTTCATATTTGAATTCGGATTCGTATTCGAAAAAAATAAAAAAATACAAATACAAAATCTCATTATTTGACTCGATTCGATTCGTTTGCAACCCTAGATCGAAGGACTACCCAAGTAGGAGGGAAATGTACATGGTAAACTTTTATCTTGGTTTTGAATAATGAGTTGGTGTCATGTTTAGCTATTAAAATAGTTAAAGTCGATGTCCTAGTTGGATTAATTCTCTTCTACACTGGTGTTTTTCTCAATTGCTTTTTCTCCGCCATTACTTGGACTTGATTTTGATGCAACTTTCCTCTTGTTCCCATTTTAAGCTATTTGAGTTTTGAACATGAGGAAACTATATCCCCTCCCAATCTCACAGCACATAAATGTGATTTTTTATTTCTTCCTAAAATGCGCTTGCATGTATATAAAGGAAAATGAAAAAATGACATGTATATTACTAACAGAGTTTTACTGGACAAAAATATGATTAGTTATATTTTTTGACAAAAGTATGATTAGTAACTATGTACAAGTAACTGGATAAGAGTCGCTATACTATAGTGTATTTCAAAGTGACAAGTTACTAATAGATGATGAGTCACTAAGAACTAGTCATTGAATATGACATTTTTTTGGATTTTCTTAAATAAGTAATATTTCTCTTTTAAATTTAATTTTGTAATATTCATGGAAAAATGTCAAGGAAAATTGTGAATGGATTTTGGTGTATTCCCATGAGTGACATCCATACATTTATACAAATATGTTTTTTTCTAGAATGATTTGTAGTTCCGTTCTGTATTTCCTTTTCCCCATCTGCAGTTGTATTAGTTCCGCAAAAGATTAGAAAAGCTGTGTTGATTTGCAAGGAAAACAAAAAACTGGAAGTCATATGTTGAACTGAGCACATGAAAAAAATGTCTATATTTTTTGTCTTCCAGTTATTCTGAAGTGGGGATTCTTACCCTATAAATGAAAGGCAAATAAGGGGCTGATTACACTATATGCCAAATTCCCAACAACTAAGAGACTCAAAATGTTTTTGATTGCACTATGTGTCTGATTGCACTATGTGTCTATGTGCACTCTTGCCAACAACTTAGCAACTACAAATGTGGTTTAACTAAACATTATGGAGAACATTAGGCATGACACAACATGTAGCAGAGGATTTAGGTATAGGCTAGAGTGAGTCAAAATCGAATGCAACTTTTTTTTTTGCAATTTTTTTAGTGTAGTTTTTTCATTTTTCACATTTAGCCACCCCTCTAATATTTAAGTCTAGTATAATTACTTTTCAATCCAGTCTAAACCAAATTCCTGAATTCGCTCCTGAGAACATGTTTTACTTTTTTGAAGTTTTACGTATTTATGAAAACCTTATATTTGAAACATATTTTATTAATAAAATAAAGAAAAATATATATGAAAGAACACTAAATAGATCATCTACAATCATTTCAACCAATACAACCAAAAAAGCAACTTCAACATTACTTTTTGTTATTATTACACAATTGAGCACGCGAATCAAAAGTTACGTGTTTGGTGAAAAAGTTGACTGATAAACCTGATTAAAAGAGTCACCAAACAGGCTTCACATCTCCATACAGTCATAGTGGGCAGTTGACCAACTTTAGAGGATGTATTATTCCAAACTAAAGACATTATAATTTCTTGGGTGTTAATTTTTTAAAAAAGAATTCCAAACTAATTAACTAGGCTCTGTATTATTCCAAGCTCAATGCTCAATCTGTCTACTGGGACTCCCCAAACGTACATGTAATATTGAATGAAAAGAAAAACAGAAAATATAAAAACTAGAGAAATCTCTTTGGTAGAACCCGATCATCTCGACAAATTACATTGATTCTTCAGCCATATATCTCACTGTTTGGCCTGTTCATCATAAGCAAAAGATTCATGTCATTTAGCGTTTCATGTCTGAAGTAAGGTGATCATCAGCTGAATCGGCCGATAATTAGAAAAAAATAATCTAGACTTCATATTTTCTTGTTTTGATGAAATGAATCAAACATAGGTAAATGAATGTTCTGCCATTGTAGTTAAGATATTACTTTGTCTGTCGCAAGTTGATTGATGTTTTAGAAAATGTACACATATTAATTAAGACATTTTACAAAATGACATTTTATCCCTATAAACGTTTTCTGTTAAATCTTTCAAGGCAAAATGGCATTTAATATGCGAAGAGGCAATGAGAAAATACGAAAAAATATGAGTTCAATTCCTGAAACGAAAAATTACTTTGGGAGAAGAAAATACTGGCTAAAACAACAAATGTATTGGAGGGAAGGAATATTTTATTTTTAAAAACCCGGGAAAAACATCTTTGCTGGGGTTATTCATTTAAGATAATTGATTCCCCATGAACTAGTTGAGTCACACTTTTAGCACAACTATTCTATCAAACCAAGTTGATTATCCTAATACGCCGTCAGGCGAAACAAGCACCAAAGGACCAAAGATATGCAAAGCATAACTTTTTAAAATTTCCCAATTTCAAATTTTCTTGGACAAAAAGGAAGAGAAAACAAGAATGCATGTGACTTGCAAAAAGTCTTTCCACGTGAAATAAGAAGTTACGCAGTTTAAGGTAATATTAGCAATAATGGAAAGGTGATTGATCACCTGGGAGTAAATGAAGGTTCCTAGGACAGCAATAGCGGCTCCAAGAGCATTAACGGGTTGAACGGGTGTACGGAAGATGATGATGGACGAAACTATCACGGAGATTCTCTTCATTGTGTTCCCTATGCTAAACGTCAATGGAGAGATTTGATCCAACGACATATACGACACCTGGTTATACAAATGATAGAATATGCTCTGTGCTGCCACCCACCTAAATTCCATCATATTGCCAAGATCAAAGAATATGTAAATGGATTATAAGCAAATACACCCGCCATTGTCACTATTAAATATTTAACCTTACAACATCAGTAAAAGGGGAGTTTGGAACTCGAAAAAATGCTGGAGGGGATAGAGAACAAAATTAGAGGGGAAGTTGGAAATTAACTAATTTGGGGAGGGGGACGTGTTGCTTCAAAATAAATAAATCGATTTAGATTTGGTTAAATTAAATAGTTCTGTTACGTAAACACTAAGAAATATAAATAAAAGTACAACTAGAAATGTTATTTTTAATTTTTTTCCATATTTCTCAAAGTAAATCTAAAAGTAAGGATCCATTTCAAACTTGAAAAATTCTAGGGTTATAAATTGTGGAGAAAATAAAGGACATATAAAATGAAGAAAAAGGTGGATGGAATGAAATCAACAAATCAACTTCAGATATTTGTGCGAACAGGTTTTATTTAAACGTTTCTATTATACTCCATACAACATAGAATAAGAAATCAATTTGTCTTTGAAAAGGAAAATTTTATTGAAGAAGGAGTAAACAAATAACAAAGTAGAAGGTTCAAAGGGGAAGAAAAAAAGAAAAACAGCCAAAACAACCCAACCCGAAGTACACGTAAAAACCCTATCTTAGAAGTGGTTTTCATTTGTATGTTCCCATGTAAAACCAAACATAAAATCGTTTGCTAAAACATTCCTACAAACTCCAAGATACATAAAAAATATTGAAAGTGGCTTTCCCCTGTTACTTTTTCCTTCCTATTATACCCCTCACAAGAGATGAAAGACATGCCAAAACAGGAAGGAAGCCACTTAACAAAAACAAAAAGGCCTTACCAAACAAAATTGGGACCAAACTGAGAAAGAGCTTGTTGCCAGCCAGCTGCCCACATTTTGGGGCCTTCCACATAAATAGCAAAAG